GCCGCGCCCCGCGCCCGCCCTTGCTAGCAGGCGCCTCCCGCCCCCCGCATTGCTGATGCTGCTGCTGGCCGACATGGACGTGGTGAATCAGGTACGCGTTCCAGCACCGCGGACAGAGCCCGCCGCTGCCCGGCATCCTCGCCCGGTTGGCAGCGAATCCGCCGACTGTAAGAGGTGGTGGCCAGAATCCTAGCAGCGGACTACCGGCCCCTGGAACTGGGACTGGGGTCTGCGGCAGGAGAAGGGAGGAAGGGGGAGGTGGAGAAAAGAAGGAGTGCGCCCTTTGCCGCAGCGAGGGCCGTCCTTACTGCAGCAGCGGGGCTGCCAGAAGCCGGTTCCTTACAGGCAACCGGAGAGGAAGGGAGGTCTTGGGGCTAGGGTATAGGCAAGGAGGGAGGGGAAGGGAGAGAGGAAGGAAGATGGGGGTGCTGCGGATGAGCTGGGAAATAGAGCGACAGAAGGCGTGGGGGCGGGGGTGGAGGGGAGGGCTGACACCTGCCCCTGCCAAATAGAGACGGTACTCTGGTGGACGACCACCCCTTCTCCCAGAGCAGACCAAGGGGACGATTGGTTTCGCCTCTCCCAAACCCCTAGTCTCCCTTCCCCCAGCACGTATCCAGTGAAGCCATGTCCCAGCCCTCCTCCACCTTAATCAGTCCAGACCCTCTCTGCCATCGCACTCTTCTTCACCACCTCCAAACCTCACCCATCTCTAACCAGGACTAACCCCTCCCCATCCTCATCACCTCAGACCCCATCACCATCATCTGACTCACCTTTACCGCTGCAGACCCCTCCCCCACCCTATCCTACCCGACTCCCTCCCTGATATGACTCACCTTCACCACCCAAACCCCTCCCCCACCCTAGTGAACCCCAACTCCTTCCCCACTCTCTCCACCCGATCCCTTTCGCCATCGACTCACTTTTATCGTTTCAGACTTTCTCCCCTTCCCTAACTCATCGTGACTCCATCCCCATCTTCCTCACCCCTGACCCCCTCTGCCATTTATCTCCCTACATTTCCCCACACCTCCCCACCAGTCCTGAACCACTAGGGTTTTCTCAGAGACCCTGAGCTCACACCTTCCCCAAAGTGTCACCTTCTCCTTTTCACCCCCTCTCCAAACATCACTCCCTCCCCGAGGTCACATGCCTTATCCCTAGGGGTCATTGCCTGGTGGCCTTGCCCCTCACCTCTCTCTCCATCCCCAACAACCCCACCCCTCCCCACTGCTTCTCTCCTCAGCTGGTGGCTGGGGGCCAGTTCCGGGTGGTCAAGGAGCCCCTTGGCTTCGTGAAGGTGCTGCAATGGGTGAGTGTGGTCTGGGCTGTGGGGAGCAAGAGAGAAGGAGTGGGGTCCAGAAGAGCAGAGGTGGGAGGGAGGAATGGATGGGTGGGTAGGGGGCAGAAGGGGATGGGGGAATCGAATCAGGCTCCAGGGTGAAGTCTGGGGGATTGGGCTAGAGAATGGATGGGCTATGATGTGACGTCACATAAAGCCAAGGGTACCCCCATGGTGAAGTGGAAGATTGTGACGTCCTGCTTCCTCTCCTGAGGTGAGAGAGGGGCAGGGGAGGTGGAGCCTGGAGCTGGTTGCTGCGGGAAAGACGCAAAGCCAGAGAAATCCAGAGATAGTGAAAGAGAAAGAGAGAATGAGAGATCGGGAATGATGAGATAGAGGTGGAAATACCAAGAAAAAAGAGATACAAAGATGGGGGGGTAGCAAACAGAAAGAGACAAAGAAAAGAGAAACAGAGAAAGATGCACAGAGAACAGAGATGCAAAGAGAAACAGGCACAGGAAGAGAGGAAGAGAAATGGGGTGGGGGAGAGAGAGAGACAGAGAGAGAAGAGACTTTCCAGAAAAAGAAAGAAAGAGAACCGATAAATGGAGGAAGAGAGGCAGGAGGGGGACAGAGAGACTGAGTCAGAGACAGCGCAGAGAGACCAAGAAACAGAAAGACAGAGAGAGAGAGAGAAAAGAGGCAGAAAGACACATACATAGATACTAGAGAGGCAGAGAGAGAGACAGAGACATCTGAGAAAAAGACACAGAGAAACAGAGAGATATCGAGAGAAATAGAGACACAGGACAACAGAGACAGGCAGAATACAGAGAGGCAGAATACAGAGATAGAGACAGACAGACAGACAGACAGACAGACAGACAGAAGGGGGAATCAGAGCATTATTGAGAGATAGAGACCAAGAGAGACACTGGGAGAAAGACAGCAAGAGATAGCCACACCCCTCTAATCAGCTTGTCCTTGGGCCCGATGAGCCCTGATTAGGGGGTGGGGGTGGGGACCAGTCCATCTGCTGCTGCCTATGCTGGGCCCCGAGCCATCCAGAGGAGGGCACCCCCATCCCTCATGCACACAGGCTCATCATGGCCATCCCCATCCCTGCTGCCCAAGGTCTTTGCCATCTTCGCCTTTGCCACATGCGGCAGTTACAGTGGGGAGCTACAGCTGAGTGTGGACTGTGCCAACAAGAGCAAGAGTGACCTCAACATCGAGGTCGAATTCGAGTACCCCTTCAGGTGTGCCCCTACCCTAGCCCACCATGGGATCCTGACAGGCCTGGGAGGGAGGGGGAGGAGAGGGGGGAGGGAGAGGGGGGCCGCGGGACCACCAATGCTTCCTCCCCAGTGGCTCCTGCTCAGCTCCCACCTCAGGAGACCACACCCACTCAGTCACTGCGCATGCACTGAGCACCTACTTTGTGCCTGGCACTGCTCTGGACATCTAGGACACATGGTGACCAAGACAGGCATAGGCTGTTGCCCTCTAGTTATGTCCAGTGAAGGGGAAGGGTAGGAGACTGGCAATAAATAAGATTTTAAAGTAAATATATATCCTTGTATGAATATATATATATATATTATATATCTTAAACACAGTAGGTGCTCAATTAATGTTACCCAGTATTATTATTTAATTCCCATTCATTCATTCCATACACATTTTTTGAGAACCTACTGTATGTCAGGTACTGCTCAAAATGCTGGAGATATAACAGTAAACAAAACAGACCAAGCTCTCTCCCCTCATGGAGCCAACATTATAACAAATAAACAAATTCATAAAGAGGATAATTGCAGATTGGGAGAAATCCAAGGAAGGGGTTCTCATGCAGGGTTTTATGAAAGAGAATAATGAGAGGGTGCTGCTTAGCTACAGGGAATGATTAAACCCAATTAAACAGGTCTGATCGTTATTGAACCCATACCATGTGCCAAGTGCTAGGTACACGAGAGACAGCACTAGCAGGCAAGGTCATTGCCCTCACGGAGATGCTTAATGCCTAGGACTGGGGAGACAGAGACCCAGAGACACCATTTCAATAGACGCTCCTGAGGCTCCTCCACTACTAGGACAAATCACATAACTGCTCTGGGTCTCAATTTCCTCATCCGTAAAAGAGGATAATAATACCACCTTGCAGGGTTATGCTAAATATTAAATGAATTAATACTTGTAAAATGCTCAGCATGGTGCCAGGCACACAATAAGCGCTCCATAAGTGTTAAAATAAGGAAAAGAAATAAGTTTAAGGGACTCAGGAAAGAGGCCCAGCACTGAGTTGGAAATGGGGGATTTTTGAGCACTGAGTGTAACTATACGCTCAGGAGGTCACCCGGGGTGAGAGGGAAGAGTGGAGAGAGGAAAACCCTGGCACAGGCCCTGAGCTATAACCAAAAGAAAAGGGGGTGCCAGGGAGGCGTGGTCTGAGAGGCTGGGGGTGGGATGGCAACCAGGGATCCAGCAGTTCACAGAAGCCAAGAAAGACAGTTTGGGGAAGGAGAAAGAGTTGCAGCCTGGGATACTGCTGAGAACAGGCCCTTTGGGAATCCAGAAGACCACAAAAATCCAGGGATCCCCCAACTCTCCCATGCGTAGGACCTCGAGTCCTGACGGTCTGCCTCTTACCCAAAAGTCTCCCAGGGAAAAAAATACTTTGCCCTGTATTTTGCTTTGACCAACCCTGCTGCTGCCCCAGTACCCCACCAAGGCCCTCTCACTCCCCCTTGGATACCCCTTCTAGTAACCCAGCCCCCTAGAAACTCGGACATGCAAACCAGATCCAACTCCTAGCCCCATCATCTAGCAGCCACACAACCCCAGGCAAGTAACTTAATCTTGCTTAGCCTCTGTTTGTTCATCTGTAAAACAGGTATAATAATGCCTGATTTAAAGAATTGTGGGGGAAGATTATTAAATGAGGCAGTTCTGGAAAATGCTTAGAGGTGATCAATAAATGCAAGCCCTTCCCTCAGGACCTTTGCTATACTAGGGCACTGGTACCATTTGCTGGTCTCAGGATCCTGCCCACCCCTCAACCTGAGGCCAGAGCTCTGGGACCTCACCCCAGCCCTTCTCCACAAATACATTTTCTCCCTAGGACCCATCTTCCATCACACAATAGGAAAGGCCTTAGCCCCGGACACCTTCCCAATCTGCCCCTGCCCCACATCTCACATACATGCATCCTGTTCCAGGATCCCTTCTACCCTCCTGTCTGTTGGTCTCCACTTATTTTGTAGTCTCTGAGCTCTCCTTGGCAATGTATACATTCGTTTTTCTCTCCAGGACCTGAAGTGAGGTAGAGAGAAGAGTCAGCATGATGTAGGGGGAAAACACAAGATTCAGATCCCAACTCTGTCATTCCTTTGGCAGCTGTGTGACTTTAGGCAAGTTAATGCATTTCTCTGAGCCTCTGTTTCTGCCTCTGTATACCTCACATAATAAACATTTATTGAGCGCTGACTTTGTGGCCACACTATTCCAGGCCTTAGGGGTACAACAGTGAACAAAGCAAAGGAAAAAGCCTTGCTCTCTTGTAGTTATGGCAAAAATCAAGGAGAAAACTAAAATACATGGTATGTCCGATGGGATATCACAGCTACAGACAAAAAGTGGAGCAAAGAAGGGGGCAAAGGTGTGCTGGGAGGGAATAATTAGATTTAATTTTAAATAGTGAGATCAGGGAAGGCCTCATGGAGAAGGTGACAAGTGGAGTGAAGCTTGAAGGAGATGAAGTGAGTAGGACATGAAGATATCTAGAAGAGCTTTCCAGTGCAAAGATCCTGGGGTAGGAGGGTGCCTGATATGTTCTATGAATAACCAAGAGGCCAAGGTGGGAGTGAGGGATGAATAACACCTATTTAACCAGCAATCAATGAAATGTGACTGGTACACAGTAGGTGCTCATGAATGGTTATTTCCTCCTCTTCCCGGGACCTTGTCAGAATCCGGGGGACCCATGACTGGGCAGGGGGAGGGGGAGGGAGTTCTTAGGGTCCGGGCCATACCTGCCCACCTCTCTCCACAGGCTGCACCAAGTGTACTTTGATGCACCCACCTGCCAAGGGGACCCTAACAAAATCTTCTTGGTGGGGGACTACTCCTCATCAGCTGAATTCTTTGTCACCGTGGCCGTGTTTGCCTTCCTCTACTCAATGGGGGCTCTGGCCACCTACATCTTCCTGCAAAACAAGTACCGAGAGAACAACAAAGGGCCCATGCTGGTGAGCCCCCACAGCCGGTCCCATGCATGCAGGGGCCAGGGGACACGGAGCTTCGGGGACACAGCCATGTTCATGGGCCACACCAAATCCCAGACAGACCTGCACACAAGCAGCCATGATAACAGCCACACACATTATTGCTGCTTCTGCTGCTGCTTCTGGGAGCATCAGAGACACCAGATCATAGAGTGACAGGGACACATTCATAGCCCACACAGCATCCCAGACACCCGGAAACTTGCCACCTCTCACAAAACCACACAGTCTAGATGAAAGAAAAGAGCACACAGAGGTTCACTGTGACAGTCATGCTTGTCATCACGCCACACAGACACATAGATTCCTCCACAGCTGTACTCAGACACCCTCATCCTAGACACAAAATGACACAAATTCCCACACTCAGACTAAAGTGGAAAGACACTCTACTTTCCACAGGTTCGGCAACCATCCCACAGAATGCTCCCCACACACCAACACCACATACCACAATCACACTCCCACATCCTCTGTGTCACAGACACACACACACGCCCAAGCTAGGAGGGCCACCTTCAAGTGAGGGTTGGGGGCTTCAAGAGTTAGAAACGCAGGGGAGACACAGGCCTCTTCTAGGGGAACCCCACTCCCAAGAAAGCCTGTGATTTGAGGTGGCCCTACAACCTGGCATGAAGCAGCCTACTCACAGTGTGGTCCTCCTCTCCCCTGCCCATCCTAGGACTTTCTGGCCACAGCAGTGTTTGCCTTCATGTGGCTGGTTAGCTCATCGGCCTGGGCCAAGGGGCTGTCAGACGTGAAGATGGCCACTGACCCAGAGAACATTATCAAGGGGATGACTGTCTGCCACCAGGCGGGGAATACATGCAAGGAGCTGAGGGACCCTGTGACCTCTGGCCTCAACACCTCAGTGGTAAGCCCTGGGAATTTGGCTGGGCCAGTGGGAAAGGTGGCTGGGAAACTTAGTCTGGCATAGAGAGTGGTGGAGAGAGAGAATGAGAGGAGAACTTAGAGGAAATCCAAGTGGGCTTCCTGGAGGAGGCATGCCAACAACAGAGCCTTGAAGGATGAGCTAGCAATTGCAACCACTGTGACACCACAGACTGTCCCCAAGAGGGGAATGTGATTATCTTCTGTCCAATTAGGTTGGGGAGACCTGGATCCCAGGCCCAGCCTAGTCATGTAGAATCTCTGGCAACTCAGTAAGTACCTTCTTGGGACCTGTTACCTTACATGCAAAATGAAAAAAACAAAACAACCTTGAAATGGTTCCCATTTGGACGCCCCCTACTGGCCAGAGTCAGACTGAGCTCAAATGCCAGCTCTGCCAATTACAAGCTCTGGGACCTGAAACTAATTACTCAGCCTCTCAGGCCTCAGCATATAAATTGAAAACACGAGGTCCTGCTCCAAAGTTGAGTATTTAATGAACTAATAACATACAAAGTGCTTAGGAAAGGGCCTGGCACATGGTAACTCGTATACAAACGTTACAGATGCTAAGATTCCAACTCTCCTTTTCTGTCAATTGCTGGCTATGAGACCTTGGGCAACTTAGCCTCTCTGGGCCTCAGTTTCCTCAACTGTAAAGTGGGAAAATTACTCCCTGTCCCCAAACTGAATTACATTGTATATATTTATACAAATTCAATATATTTGTTTTAATATAAAAGTATATATTTACATACTTTATACACGTGATTTATACATTTATTTGTATATACATGTGTATATAGGCATTAGTGGTATATCTACATGTTCAATAAACATGAATAACATTTTACTACACATTATAAATTTAGATTTGTTTACTATATTTTATACATGTATAAACATGTGTATATGAAAATATATAAATACTTACATATGTAATGCTGATAAACCTCAACATCTCCGGGAATCTGAGTTCTAACACCCCCCGCGCCCCTCTCCCCGCCAAGGTGATTTTTCCTGCACATAGACATTCATGCGCTGGGACTTAAGAGGGTCTAGGTTTCAGAAACCACCACCCACCGGGAGCCCGCGGATCCAAGCCCGACGCAAGTGGCCTCGATGTTCCCCGGGGCCGCCAGGGCAATGGGCACAGGACGACAGCCGAGCTTTGTCTCCCCGCAGGTGTTTGGCTTCCTGAACCTGGTGCTCTGGGTCGGCAACCTGTGGTTCGTGTTCAAGGAGACAGGCTGGGCCGCCCCATTCCTGCGCGCTCCTCCCGGCGCCCCTGAAAAGCAACCGGCGCCCGGGGACGCCTACGGCGAGGCAGGCTACGGGCAGGGCCCCGGCGGGTACGGGCCCCAGGACTCCTACGGGCCCCAGGGCGGCTATCAGCCTGACTACGGGCAGCCCGCCGGTGGCGGCGGCGGCTACGGGCCTCAGGGCGACTACGGGCAGCAAGGCTACGGCCCTCAGGGTGCGCCCACCTCCTTCTCCAATCAGATGTAGCCTGGTGAGTGACGGGCGGGCGGTGCAGCCAAAAAGGGTTCATGAAAGGAGACGGGCGGGTCAGTGAACCAGTAAGAGTCAGGAGTAAATAGTACGTAGCTACGCTAGCCGGACAAGTGAGGACGGGAGTCTGAAGGAGTCAATAGGGAGGCGGAGCTATATACTAAGGGCGAAAAACTAGCCAATGATGGAAGTCAGGAGAGTGGAACTTGAAAATGGGCAGAATGAAGAGCCAATGGGAGAGGGATAGAAGGGTTGCTTTGAGGGAAGGGAGGGGCGAGAGAAGTGGGCAGAGCAACCAGTGAGGGTTGCAACCAATAAAGGAGGGACTAGCAGGAGGACATGCGTAGTGGGGAATCAGCCGGGCTCAGGAGCTGAGAAGGGACGACCAGGGGTGGGGGTGGGGGTTAGCCAAAATGTTAAGATAAGGCCAATAGATGCTTAGGGTAACCTGGCTTGGATCATGAAGGTCAGACAAGCTCGCCAATCCGGGAGAAGGTGGTAGATCCGCCACCTCTCCGCAACCCTGGAGGTGAGGGAGGTGGTGTGAAATTTTAAAGAAGCAAAGGGGCGGGGCGGGGGCATTGGAAAGTCTTGCCAGCCTTCTTGTTGGGCCTCCAAAAAGAAGTGAAATTTCCCTCACATATGAGGAGGGAAGATGGAGAAAAGAGGCATCTGAGGGAATGGCGTGAGAAGGGAAAGGCAAGGAGGTGGAAACAAGTGGGTAAAGGTAGCTTCTGGCATTTGGCCAGGATGGAAAGGGGACAAGTTTCTTAGGCATCTCATCTTCAATTCATTAAAAAATTTTATTGGCTCTACCTTCAAAATATATCCATAATCTTTCCACTTCTCACTGTCCCCCTGGACGTCTTCACTGGTTTCCACCCCTATTCGCATTATATCCTACTCCCAGATGGGGAAGGATCCTGTTAAATCCTAAATCACTCCGCGACCCTCCTGCGTTCATAGAGCAGATCTCTGCTGGGCCTCCCATCTCACTCAGATTAAAAGTCAAAGCCTTCACTATGGCCCATGAGGCCCTATACAATCTAGCCCCATCCCTCACTTCTCTGACCCCTCACCTCCAACCACTGCCCCCACAATTCTGTTCCAGCCACGCTGGCCACCTCAATGTGCCAGGCACCATCCAGTCTTGGTACTTGCTTTCCCCCTTGAGTTTCACACCCACACACACTGATAACCTTATCTGGCCAGCTCCTTACAAGTCCCCTTTCTTATCTTATCAGGGAGCTGTGCTTTTCTTTATCACAGTCTATAATTATTAGTTTATATGTTTATTGACTTTCTCTTCTACTAGACTAGGGGACGTGACCATAACTTATTCATGCTATACACACATCACTTAGAGCACTACTAATGTTAAGAAACATTTGTTGAGGAAATAAAAGAAACTATATAGCATAAGACATTTTACTATCATTTTACTCTTCTCTGCTTAAAATATTCCCATGATTTACACCTCATTGAGAGTCAAAGCTGAAGTCCTCACAGTCTTGTCCACAAGATCCTACGACCCCGTTTCCTACCTCCCCGATTTCACCTCCTACCACTCTCCCTTGCTCACTCCACTGGAGCCCAGCCGACCTCCTTGCTGTTCCTCAAACACACTAGACATGGTCCCACCCCAGGGCCTTTGCACAGGCTGTGCTCCCTTCCTAGAATTCTCCCCCCCCCCCAAGTTATCTGCATGGCTCATTCCCTCACCTCAAGTCTTTATTCCAATGTCACTTCTTCAATGAGGTCTTCTCTGACTACCTACTTACCACAGTTACCTTTCTTCCCCACCTGGCATTCCTAATCCCTCTCACCCCAGTCTACTTTTTGTTTTTCCATTTCACTTATTATCACCTTATGTCATACTAGATAACTCACTTATACATCTTGGTCATTGTTTGAAGTCTGTCTCCCCTGCTACAATGTAAGCTCTACCAAGATAAGGATCTTTGCTTTGCTCAACATAGTTTATCACCAGTGAGGAGACCAGCATCTGTTAACGGACTTTTTTGGGTTGGGGGAGAGGGAACCATCCTTTCTTTGGGACCTAACCTAGTGGGAGCAAGGTATATCTTCACAGTAGGGGCAGCTGGGATGAAGCTGACTCCAAGACTATAAGTGAAGGAAGAAAGGGGGAAGAAAAGGCATGGCAGGTAGAGGGTAAAGCCAGGGCAGAGGCACAGCAGCCCAGCCCTTCCATAAGAGCATCACCTGTGTCTGGACCCCCTCTCCTTTCTGTGTGTTTTGTCTCCACAGGTCAGTGCAGCCCGGGAGGACCCCATGGTAGGCAAGAGCTCAGGAGAAGGCCTGCCCCCCCAACATCCCACTCCTACACCCTGGTCTCCACCCCTCAAGCCAGGAGACCCTTAACTGTCTTTGCTGTTTATATATATATATATTATATATAAATATCTATTTATCTGTCTGAGCCCTGCCCCTACTCGACTCCCCTCATGCATTAGGGCCCAATCTTGAATGGACCCCTCTCTTACCCCTTCCCCTGCATCCCTCGGCACCTCTCTGTTCCCTGGCCCTGTGCCCTGAGGTTGGGGGACTCTGAAAGGGGGTCAGGGAGGAGACAGAAGGCTGTGTGGGGAGGGTGGGTGTGACTTCAGACTCTCTCCCCTCTCTCTCTCTCCCTCTCAACTCTGGCCTCAATTCCTCTAGCAATGCCTGAACAGGGGCCAGTAGGAAAAATTCAACCCTGAGCAGGGGAGAAAGGCAGAGACCAGAGGAGCTTTGGACCCAAGGTGTTCTTGGAGAGAGGCTCTGGAGTAGAGGAGACTAGTAAGCAGGGAGGTTGGATTCCAGACATACTGGATCTGGAGTCTCAAGAAGAGGAGTCGCCTTAGAGCATTCTGGAGTGGGGCTTGGAAGGAGGCTGAGGGTATGGTTCTAGGAGGGGTGAAGCTTTGAGTGAGGCAGCAGGTGGGCCAGGAGTGGGCAGGGGTTGGAGTAGAACAGGGTTCTATGGAAGGGATGTGACTTGAGACCTGGGGACTGGGTTTGGAAGAGTGCTGAGGGCTTGGTTCTAGGAGTGGGATGGGGCTTGAACCAGGCAGGAGGTGAGGCTCCAGGGGGGGTAGGTCTTGGATTGGGACCAGAATCGATGACAGGGGTGTGGCTTGGAACATTCAGGAGGCTGACTTTGATTCTACAGGGGGCAGATCTTGGGCAAGGCAAGAAGTGGGATTCAGGAATGGATCAGACTTGAGATGAGGTCGTGGTCTGGGTTCTAGAGGGTTCGCCCCAGGGCTTAGAGTGGGGCGTGCATGGTGTTTTCAAAAGGGGCAGTCCCGCCCCGCAGTGGAGCAGTGAAGAAAGTATGTTTTAGAGTAGGCAGGTTTGGCAGTG